GTCCACCCTTCTTGTTGTATCATGCTACTTTTAATTTTGCAAATTTTCGGAAAGAAAAACAGTAAAAAACTAATTATTGAATAAATAATTAGCATTAATTAAAAAAATTAATCACTAATAACAAAAATACTTAATTAAATTTTACGTACTATATACTTAGAATTATAACCAATCAGAAAAAAAATCAAGGACTTTGGGGAAGTCCGGACCCCTAGGACACCCCCCCCCCTTGTGTGCGCCACTGGTTGTATGAATTTCAATGTCTTTGGCGCCACTGTAATGTTTTCTATCTTTTTACTAGTGGCGTAACGGAGAATGTTAGGACCCCTCCCCTTCTCCCTGAAAGTCAGATTTCGCCTTTAATATTTTATAAATTGGGTAAATACGTATTTAGCGTAAGTCAGGCTTTGGGACCCTGGAGTCCGCCCCCCCCCGTGATGCGGGGCTGTACGTTACGCCACTGAAATGTAAACACTTCAAGAGGCTCTGTTCATTTGTTATAAGCAGTCTCCCGACAATACGCATTCAGTTGCTTTCTCTCAACACTCCGTGGCCGCGGTAGCCGAGTGGTATAGGTATCAGATCGTGGCTTGCCTTGTCACGAGTTCGAGCCCAGTACCACTAAAGACCCGCCGTGTAGGGCAGCGATGCACGCTAAATCTGTCGAGAGCTGAAACGTCCTCCCGTTGGTGTGGTGTGGTAGTTAGGAGAGGGGGTGCCAGCTCAGGTGTCGTCTACGTCACTTGACCATGGTTCAAAATTACGTGGTCCGTCGCCAAAAACCCTCGTGTAGCTGAACAGCGCGACGTTAATATTCAAGCAATCAATCAATCAATCTCTCAATACTCCAACAGCCCACGCTTGATTGAAGACGAAACTTTCAATGACAGTGACATTATCAATAATTTAATAAATTACGAAGACGGACAAGAAGCCAGATTCTTTGAGACCGGATAAAAATATGGAGGGATCCAGCTTTCCAACAAATTTGAAAAGCATTTTCTTAAAATAGGTAACAGTTAAGAAAGGAGTATAAAATTCCAAAAAGGGCTTCAATCATGTTACCTGGCAATCATGACATTTACAAGCAACTGACCACCCGACCTTTGACCAAAAACTTATCTCTTACTTTATGTTGCCAAAAAATAAATCAATTGAAATTGTACCTTCAAGTGACGAAAATAATTCTGAACTTATTCATTACAGGGCTTTAGATTACGATGAGTAGCAATGAATTTATGTATGTGCATTTTGAAAACTTATTTGTGTATACAATGAGAAACTATATGTTTAAAAACTATTTCCATGTGTAATATTTAACTATTTATTTTGTTATGAAAGTATTCTTACATAAATTTCGTAAATAATTGGCATATTTTATAAATGCGACTTTTTTAATGCGGTCCCTATCCACCGCATAAGAAAAGTTCTATGTAGTATTTCCACGAATTAGTTTATTATATGTAAGAATTTATGAAATTTTTGAATATTTTTTGTGCGTTTTTTTATGCGGTCCCTATATACCACACAAAAACAGGTTCAACTGTATTATTGAATTCAATACATTGTAATTGTATGGAGGGGGGGGGGGTGATGAAAATTATGATTGAATATTGGGTCACAAATATTGAAAGTTTGAGAAGTGCTTCTTTAAGGGTATCTTGGCCAAAAAAAGAAAGAAAAAGAAGCCAAAACTGAATTCGGAGTACAATTTTAGATAAGAAAAAATTCTTCATCTTCATGAAAATCCCGGGGGCTCGTAGATCTTATGCGCCCAGGGACCGAAATGAGCTTAAAGTGGCACTGGTCATGTCTGTTGTCCGTGTCTATGCCTAGGCCTACCACCATGCCTCATCATTTAGGAGGCTAAAGGTGGTAGGCAGTTGGTTGTAACAATGTGAGATTGTCAAGCAGACTGGTTTGTTACGGGTAACTGTACAAGTATTTTTAACGTGTGTTGTATACCGTCTTCATAAAAGAGTCGTACATGGGGTATACTTTTGTAAAGGGGCCCAGGGTCACAAGGAGTCTTAAGACATCGCTGAACATTGGTGATGGTTGTTTCAAAAACTATGAAATCAACTTATAATCTGCAAGAATTTAAATGTCATTAACTTCAACCCTATATCAGTTGTTCGAAAATTACATTGTAATAAACCAGGTAATGATTCTTAAAACAAAAATCCTTTCATTATTGTTTCGGAGTGTTCTGTTTACAAAACCTCATTAGGATTCACTATTTACAATTACGCAATCACAACCATTCTATTAAACAAGAGAAATAAAAATAAAAACTAATTACAATCCAAAACGATCCCCAAGGTCTAAAAAGAATAGGAATCAAATTAACTTTGTAAGGTAATATGTTATAATATATAAAGAACCAATAAATAAAAACAAATGGTGGCCGAAATCATTACAATATTATAACAGGGACTTATCATTTAAAATTTTAATACAAGACTTACAAAAGATTAGTACATATGTATTTATCTAGCTTTCAATAAGAAATAAACTAAGAAACATTCTTAAGATTCCAGATCCATTCACTGATATACCAAATCAACTTCCATTCAATATTAAATAAATGGAAAATGTTTATTAACACTTCGTATCTGATTTGCTTAACATTTGGCACTCTACCAGACCACGAATAGAAAAAAAAAGTCCCCTTCCCTCCCACCCCCAAAAGAACAATCATTAGTATTTAATTCTGCTTCCTCTCCCAATTGAATGAAGTATTTTTTTTCCTGATAGTCTCCGCAAATGTGCTCAATACCTCTCCTTTTTCAATGGAAATATAACGATTTAGATACTTATCTGCACAAATACATTACTACGTTTAACAGGTTTAAATGAATCAACCAAGGACAAGGAGTTTTTAAGCGGAAGACGTGGACGGATTTAAAGAGGAAGACGAGAGAGGTATAAAAACAAGGTGTTTATTCATACAGACGGGTGAACAAACCACCACTAGATCAAGGTTTCCAGGTTAATTAAGCAAAAACGGTGGCTTTGATATGACAGAGGAATGAAAGGATGGTGCCGCCTGGTGCTGGAATAGTTATCGAAAAACTTATTATTAACACTCTCAATAGGGAATAATAGGGCTATTAATTAGGGGTACAGAGTTGTTGGTTTTGTTCCCTGGGAGATAATTTCGAAGGTGATTGAGTTTACGTACTTGTTAAAAAATATATGCTCGTGTAAAAGCATATCTTAAGAACCTTTTCAAAAAAAATTTAGCTTCCGTAAAATCCGACGTATATCACGCAAATTTTTAACACAAATAATATAAAAAAAAGAAACGCGAGTCTTACAGTAGTCGCATATGATGTGTAACATCTGACATGTTATCGTGGTAAATACGCAATATTAATTTTTTTCCTGAAAAAAATATGAATCGGGTATGATTGGAAATAATTTTATATCGAATAATTATATCTTTAATGAAAATTGTATTTAATTATATATAACAAAAGGAGTAATGCAATATTTTATCAAAAATAATTATTCTTGTTCAATTTTGGGAAGAGCGGAGACAATAGACTTATAACTAAAATGACACATATACTTGTGATTTCAAAGTATTTAAAAACCGTTGGAAAAAAAACAGCGTCAATAACAGTACCACTGTTAGTAGTCAAAACATTCTAATTTGTGTTCATTTCCAGTTTGAGTTCATCCTTCATAAAAACTATGAGCGGCTCAGCTTTTGGAAAACTGAAGTTAAAATCACTCAAAATCAGGGGAAGCGAGTGATAATTTTTTTAAAAGAGCCGAAACACCTTCATTATATGGTAAAAGTTCAAAATGCAGGAAATCTTTAATTTTTTTTAACCATTTGATTCGAAGAAATGTATACAACCACCGAAATCACTGTCCATTTTCAAATAAGCATTCTGCCGCACTTATGTCCCCCAATATCATGACTAACGGATTTAGAGTCAAGCGCTCGAGTGCTTGATGGCTACTAGAGTTGGACCCCCATGCGAGAGTAGCGAAAAGACACAGCCACGCACTCTCATTGGTCAAATCAAGTAGCGCGCGCTTACGTCACATCCTGTTAGACACATCCGTCCCTTTTTACGAAATCACTCCCAACAAACATCCAGCAACCGAGAGGAAAGATGTTACACATCAGAAATTTTTAAAGTCAATTCCTACTTGGTCAACAAAAGAAAATTTTTATTTTAGTTACTTTTTATTAAATAGTTACAATTAATATTAATTTGTATATACATATGACAGAATCACAATATTAAATGGCAAAATAGAGAAAGCGATTTTCCTTCCAGTTTTCCATTTTTCTTTCTATATAGGGTGTTGGACTATTTTTTTGTTTGTTTGTTACTATTTGTTCATCACTTAAATTTAATTATTCTGATAAAATAGAATAGTACACAAAGGAAATCGCACTCTCAGAAATTAGGTCATCCCAGGTGGGATTCGAAGTCGCGACCTTTGGATTAGAAACCAAACGTGCTATCCATTGCGCTACAGGGACACAGCGAGCGAGTTTCCTTTTTATATATGGTGTTGGACTATTATTTTTGTTTGTTACTGTTTATTCATTAATTAAATAGAATTAATGAGTTAATATTTGAAAAAACTGTATTAACATCAAGTGTCATCCACTACAAGTTTAAAAAATGTATTTGAACTTGAATGGGTAAATACAAAGTATTTTATAGCGATTGAAATTTTGAACAAGATATATATAAATAAATATATATATAAAGGGAGAGAGTGAGCTAATAGTAGGAATTGAAAAATGAGATTAAAATTTACGGGTACGCATTATACGTCGGGTGTATAAATGGTAGTTTCAAAAAAGAGAGAGAGAGATGAGGATAAAAAAGTTAGACTTCAACATAGATCAGAATAGTGTTTTTAAAAGAAATAATGTACCTAATGAATTCAAAGGGTTGTTGTTCTAGAAATATACTATTCTCTCAAATTCCTGAGATCTTTTTCGAATGGCAGAAAAAAATAATGTGTGCCCATCGTGGGGCATGAACCCACCACCCCGAGATTAAGAGTCTCGTGCTCGACCGATTGAGCTAGCCTGCGAGTTCCTGAGATAATACCGCGAATAAATGACTCCAAAAGATAATAGTACTAGCTGGTATACCCGTTCTTCGCACGGGTGAACTGAAAAATTAAACAAAGATTGAAGGATAAAGAAGTTTATAATGAGTTAATTTTACGTGAATTGCAAATTAAACAAAAAAGCCTTTTTTGCGTAGCTCGGCAAAACAAAAACAAAAAAGAGAGAAATAAAACACCTTTGTTAAATTTTAAGTATGTAGATCTAATAGCTGATAAAAAGGATATTTTTTTTATTTATAACTTCCCTAACACTCTTGAGGGTCGATTTTTGAAAATACCATCTTAAGCTGATCTCTGCTCAGCAAAAGAGACACATTGTTAAAAGTTTTGTGTAATGAACGCTTAAAATAGTGTAAATAATTTTTATCTGAAAGTATAATACATTAATATTACTTTCAGTAGTATTTATTTTATGTTAAAATTGTAATATTCGCAAGCAACGCCGTTTATTAAATTACAATGACGATTCAATAAACAACATAGCGAAATGTTAACAATAGAGTCAAGTTGGCAAATGCCTAGCTACTTTCATAACTCGAGCTTTATTAGAGCTTTGTAAGACCCGCCGTGTAGGGGCGAGATGCACGTTAATACTTTATCCAACCACATTATGATTTACTGCATTTTTCATAAAATATTTTTTTTTGGACCACTACATTTAAAGTTAAGGGATATGCATAAACAAAATACTCCACTTTGGAAAATTTAATCCGTTAGAGCTAATAAATTAATTAAAGATATTCCACTGTAAAATTATTTATATATACCGTTCACTTAAAATAAGTAGTCAAATAATTTTCTAAGGTCTTCATTAACATACAAAAAAATAAGACACTTAAATTTTGACAAATTATTTTTTTTTTCGCTAAAATACTCATCATGGAACCCGTGCTGCTATATATCTTGGAAGAGTGGATTTCAAAGAATATTCCTGCTAAGTATTGGTAGAATATTCCTTCTAAGTTGGTGTGGTGAGGTAGTTAGGAGAAGAGGGTGCCAGATCAGGTGTCGTCCACGTCACTTGACCATGGTTCAAAATTACGTGGTCCGTTGCCAAAAGCCCTCATGTAGCTGAACAGTGCAACGTTAATATTCACTCGTTCCAAAAGATACAGTACAGTAGTTTTAATTATTTTTATACTTAAAAATGCAATATCTGCCTATTCAATTAAAATTATAGTGTTATAATTAACTACTAACCACAAACAAATTTTGAAAATTTGTCCAAATGATGCAGTGTGAAGGAGAAAGTTTATTTACTTTAAGTATCAGAACTGATAAAAGCATTTATTTGGAAAAAGATCCAATTTCTTACTACCAAATGTGCATAATAAAATGTTAAAAAAAAAAACATTAAAATAAAGAGAGATTTATAACAACCTCTCCCTTCAAAACTTAGTTTGATTCTGAAATAAAAAAATAGGCATTATATCATAGGAATTAATTAGAAGCGAGCACCTTGCGTAGCCAAAACAAAAATGGTTTTCACAAACAGACGTGGTTTTTTGCAGCGCATGCCAGAATTGCTAGCAGATGATAGAATTTTTTCCTACTTACTTGACAAATATAGTTATATTTTGGACACTTCATACAATATCTTTATAAATTATAATTTATGCTATAAATTATAGCCTATGTGCTATTCTGATGTGTAAGCTATATTACTGTAAAGTTTCATTAAAATCCCCATTCAGTAGTGTTTGCGTGAAAGACTAACAAAGATTTTCACAAACTTTCGCATTTATAATATATATTAGATTTCACACGTCCATTTCAAGTTCATTCGTAAAAAAGGGGGTGTGCTTTATACGACGAATGTACCTAAAAATTAAAAAAAAATGCAGTTTGAAAATATAGGTGCGTGTTATACTCTTGATTTTACGGTAGTTAATATTTGAATTATAAATGATATTTCACAAAAAGAATGCTTGAGACAGGGGTGGTCGCGGAAGTCGAATGGTTAACTCGTGGTTGGCGTTGTATCTGTCAAGCATGGGTTCAAGTTCAGATGCCACTAAAGACTCACCGATGGTTGTGTTGAAACTTGGAAATTGGGTGTCAGCTTAGGTGTCATACTCGTTAGTGTCAGGTAGCCCCTGTACAGTAGTGGGCACGATCACGAGCTTGTGGCCTGCGCAGTGGCGTAACGGAGAACATTTGGCCCCCCCCTGCAAAGTCAGGTTTTGGGCCCTCACGTTGAATTTTACAAAGGGTAGGCACTTGCGTCAGTCAGGCTTTGGGCCCCTTAGAACCCTGGGACCCCCCGCGATGCGGGGGTGTACGTTACGTCACTGGGCCTGCATGTCCTGAGTTCGAGCCCTAGTACCACTGAAGATTGCCATATAGAGGAGCTGATGCATGTTAAACCCGTCTTGGTTCAAGATCCTTCTATTGGCGTGGAGAAAGGGAAGCCAACTCAGGTGTCGTCATTTGGATATGGCTAAGGGTCCGACGCCAATAGCACTTGTATAGCTTTATAATGCGGCGTTAATAAACACTCATACACTCGTCAGTACAGTGGCGTAACTTACACCCCCGTATCACGGGGGGGGGGAGGATTCTGGGGGAAGGGGTCCAAAGCCTGACTAGCTTGGGGCCCAAAACCTCACTTTGCAGGGGGCCCTAATATTCTCTGTTACGCCACTGCGTCAGTGTCACCTCGTTTGACCGTGGTTCAGAATTACGAAGTCCCTATGACAGGCATGCCCCATTTGGACACGAAGTAACATCTTCAGTGGCACTCTACACTATTCTACAAATTTGTCAATTTTTCAGAGGATGGAAGTTGTGTGGAAGTTATGTTCACGCGTCTTTTCTTTAACATGTCCTTTGGGGTTTTAGGGGCCAGAATCAATGGCAACTCTTTTCCAACCAAATCCAAGAAGTGAAGTGTGAAAGAAAGATGCAAATTAGGAACCTTTTAAATATCAGAAGTTAGAGTAAGCGCGATGGCAATTGGAGGAATGTAAACAGTTCGTGGTTCTAGATTGAAGCTTTAGATAACAATACGTGGCGAAGAATAGTAATTATACATGATAGAGATCCATTAATCAAGGTGCATACCATTGCACACGAGTTATCGCAAGACCTCATCTAAAATTATTGTGATCGTTTACTGATACTACAACAAGGTAGGATTGACTGTTTAATATTGGGATTTGTAATAGTATAGGAATCGTGTTTAGGTGAGTCAGCTATTGATAGTGGTTCGAGTTAGGTAAATTCGGTAATATATATATATATATATATATATATATATATATATATATATATATATATATATATATATATATATATATATATATATATATATCGTGTGTTTTGCCACCGTAGATTCTCTCACATATATTATTATAATTTAATTTGTTAAAGGATTAAGTTTAATATCTTAATAAAGCTATATTAAGATAATGCATGCGTCTAGGTCCTACACCTCTAGCTCACGCTGATACCAAAGAGATAATCACCTCAGAGGGGGATTATCACAGTTGATACTTTTGAAATGGAATTTATTGGACTGACAATTTCAGAATAATGGAAAGCAGCATTTACGGAATTACGGAAAAAATCTGAAAGATAACTAACGATAAATTTTGACAGCCATTTTAACTTATTAGATGTCATTTCTGGAAAGATTTAATTGTTTGAAGAAAATATTACACGTACTCTTCTTTAGACTTTTAGTTTACATATCTATGTGAACAAATCTTTTCACACCCGAAATATGTTTTGTCCGCTAAGAAGTTGCTTCACAACTGAACGTTCAAAATTGTGTCAAACTGAAAATCACTAATTATACCAATGGTATTGCGATATGAAGTATAGTGGTGCAGAGGTATAAGGTTTGCGCATTAAAATATATGTATTTTTTTTATTAGCTACATTGAAATGGATTACTTATATTTTATGTTGTTTATTTTTATGTTAATAAATATTTTTTTAAATGATGCAAAATTAATATAAAATAAAACTCTAAATCTCTGTATTCTTGACCTCTATTCCCTAACTTTGAATGCATTATAGCGGGAATTGAATTGTTTCAGTGTGGCACCCTGAACCATATTGGTAGATTAATTTGGTACACCACAGCCACAAGGTTGCCGACTCCTCGTCTACACGCTGCTTTTGAGTGCGATGCCGATATAAAGAATAAATTTACTCTAATTATTTCAAAAAGAAAATGAGAATTACATTGCATGTTAACTTAAACTTTTTTACCAGTTTCACTTCAGAATGGAATAGTATTCTGGAAGGGGAAGGGAAACCCTGGAAGGGGAGGAGTGTGAGAATTTCTTGGACCCCAGGGATGTCCAAATCGCGGCCCGCAGACCACATGCGGCTCACTTTGAGTATTTTTGTGGCTCGGTCAATATATATTGGCACACAATAATATATAATAAAATATCAAAATTTCTCCCGAAATAGGAAAGATAGTAGCACAGAAGGGATGTCAAGTGTCAATAGGTACAAATTAAATTTCTCTTGTTCTTTTATATACGTTTATCAATTTAACTCAGTGGTGCAACCGTCCATGAAGAACAAGGCCTACTATGCTCAACTCTGTGTAGGCAACCTTGGGCCCTGAGGTGCATGAGTAGATGTTTCGGTCAAGTTGTCAATCTGATGCGAAACCCCCAGTGTTAAATTCCCAAGCAAGCTTGGTTCTTATTTATCGACCCACTGAAGGGATGAAAGGCTGAGTCAACCTTGCCCAATCCGGGGTTTGAACCTCGGACCTGTGGTGTGGAAGCGCAATGCACTAACCACTCACCCACTGGGCTTATATCTGTTTATTATAATGTATTATTCGAAATAAATCTACGTTTCTATGAATTTTGATTTCCTTTGTGACTCACCTTGAGTTAAACCTTGTTTATTTGGCCCAAGTCAACCTTTGAGCTTGCAACCCCCGCATCGCGAGGGGGCAGGGTTCTAGGGGGCCCTAAACCTGACTTTG